GTTTCTGCCTTTCTGTCCTATGTATCCATGCTTCTGACCCCATCTTGTTCATCACTTTATTTGTTAATTAGACTCTACATATTAGTGAGATCATATGGTATTTGTCTTTCTCTGACTTGCTTATTTTGTTAGCACAATACTCTACAGGTCCACCTATGCTGTTGCAAAGGGTAAGAGTTCCTTCTTTTATACAGCCATGTAGTATTCCATTGTGTAAATGTACCACAGCTTTTTTATAGACTCAACTGCTGATGGGCACGTGGGCTGTTTTCAGATCTTAACAAATGTGAATAGTGTTGCTATGAACATAGGGGTGCATATATTCTTTCTGATTGGTGTTTTGGGATTCTTAGGATATATTTCCAGAAGAGGGATCACTGGGTCGAAAGGCAATTCCATTTTAATTTTTTGAGGAAACTCCACACTATTGTTCGTAGTGGCTGCACCAGTTTGCATTCCCAGCAACAGTGCCCTAGGGTTTGCTTGTCTCCACATCCTTGCCGGCAGTGTGGTTTGTTGATTTATTGATATGAACCATTCTGGCAGGTGTATGTTGATATTCATTTATAAGAAGGAACTTATCCTTATTCCATACTCATTTTCTTATGTATTCATTTATATCATTACGGATACATGATTATTATTCTCTGAGTTATTATCCATTACTAATCTTATTTATTTTGAAGCTTTCAGTGTCTTCATTGCTTACAAGGATTCTAAATGATGTCAAAGAAGCCAACTAGAAAATATGTATAAAAGCAGCATCAGGAAAAAACCTAGAAACTAAGAAACAAAAGGAAAGTTTACCCACAGGTGGTGGGTCATGAGTGGGGTCGAAAGAATGGGGAAAGGGAACAGTATAGGTGTTCATATATAACCTATAAATTGTAATCTATTTATATGTTTTAAAACCCATGAGTTTGAATTGATAGCTCCAATTCTAGTTTGACACCACAGAGACCTTTCCAGCCTCTCCTTTTCCATGTACAGAGCTCCTTTCCCCGAGAGTGAGAGTCACTCCCTTTTCCTCCGTGTTTATTTAATTGTCGAGTCTTTGGATATATGGCGAGCTGTTACAGAATCTTGAACACATACCACAGTTAATGGCACTCCAAAGCTTAAAACTTTGTGTAGAGGTGTGTGTTTTTTAGTTGTGAGAGTATATAGACAAAATTCTGGTTTCAAGAATTGCTTAGGTTACTTATTTTATTTTCCCCTTTAGACTAATTATGATGTTAATTCGAATATAATTTCAGTTCATTTGTATTGTTTTAATCTATTTTGCTTTATTCACCACCTCTCCTATTTATTTTCTTAGTGGCAAAATACAGCATAGTCAAAACTAAACAAATAATTCTACTCATCTCCCCATCTCTTCTACCCCACCTCCTGTAGGTAAACAAAGATTCTAAATGATCTCAGAGAAGCCAACTGGAGAATACATATCAGTTTCTGATTAATTCTTCCTGTGCTTCTTTCTGTTCAGATGGGCAGACACATGTATATTTCATTCCTCTTCATTTTTACATAAAAAGAAGCATGCTATAAATGTTCTTTTATACATCGCTTTTTTTCATTTAGCAATATATTCTAATATTTCTCCATGTTGGTTCATAGATATCTTTGTTCTTATTTTTCTCACAGTTGAAAAATATTCGGTTGATATTTTATAGAGTTTTTTTTATGAGTCATAAAATGAGATTGGTGATATGTGTCCCAAATGCCACTGAATTAAATACCTCAAATGGCTAAAAAGAAAGTAAGAAGTGATCTCTGCATACAGCACAGAAAAGAATAATAAAACAATAGTAATGATGTATGATTAATAAGGTAATAGAGAGATAATTGAATTTTAAAATATGTATTTAATTAAAGTAGAAGACGACAAGAGAGAATATATGTAAAACAGATGTATCAAATAAAAAACAGAGTAATATGGAAAATATAAATTCAAATGTATTATGATTACATTAGATGAAAATAGACAAAATTCTCCAGAAATATAAGAATAGTTGCTTTGCATAAAATGAGCAAAAGCCAGCATTACATTTTTAACAATGCACACCTCACAGCAGAACAAAGAAAAGTTTAAAATGATAGAAAAGAAATACCATTTAATCACTTACCACAAGAAAGCTGCATCTTGACCAGCTATACTATACTAGTACCTATATCTCTACCTATATCTATAGCTGTATATCTATCTATATCTATAGATATAAAGTATCAGTACTAATATCGGAAGTAAATGAGGTATTAAGGTAGGACCTATTATTAGAAAAGTTTTCCTAATTATAGATGGAAGTGATATGATCTTAAATGCATTTTTTAAAAGTCTCTTTCTCTCTTTTTCTAACAGCCTGGCTTTGTAGCACATAACAGTTTTCATACTGTAATTATTCTTATCATGGCTGATTGCAGTCAGACAAAAATGATGTCAATGATTGTGAATTAGGAAGAGATGAACACAAGCAGCTTGAAGCCAACAAAAGTCAGCATAAAAAAATCAGGTTATAAAAAAAGAAAGATTACCAGGAGAAAATCATGATGCTAAATAAGTGGCTCTTCAATAACATGAAATTTTTAAAAATGCATAAGCAAAAAATGAATTATCACAAAACAGAAAGAGAAAAAAACCACAATTACGATTGTGCAACATGTTTTGCATAGGATTTTGCATATTCTATATAATAAAAGCCCAGGAACCGAATGGCAGAATGACCAGAACAACCAGTCGACCAGTCACTATGATGCACGCTGACCACCAGGGGGCAGATGCTCAATGCAGGAGCTGCCCCCTGGTGGTCAGTGTGCTCCCACAGTGGGAGCGCCGCTTGGCTGACCGGGATGAGAGGTGCTTCCACAGCGGAGCAGCTGCTCAGAGGGCAGGTCCACAGTCGCTCAGCTGACCAGGATGAGCAGCACTCCCACAGTGGCCAATCCCCGCAGGCCACGCCCCCACCAGTGCACGAATCCATGCACGGGACCTGTAGTCTATATATAAAAGCCTAAGTGACCATTACGACCAGACAACCTGCCAGTAGCTATGATGCGCACTGACCACCAGGGGGCAGAGGCTCACTGCAGAAGCTGCCCACTGGTGGTCACTGCGCTCCCACAGCTGGCCAACCTCCCACGGTCCCTGCCCCCAGCCAGCCAGCCCCCATCAGGATTGGGCAAGACGGCCCCGATTGGCCCTGATCGCTGGTCAGGCCGAGGGGCCCCACCCATGCATGAATTCGTGCACTGGGCCTCTAGTATATAATAAGAGATGATGAACAAGCAAAACCTATCAATTAGGAATAAAAAATTACTAAGTCCTAGAAGAAAATGTGACCTAGTGCACATATAACAACACTTATACATGACAAGAACTGGATATTCTATGAAAGTTATATGGAGGTGTTGGCCATACAGTAATTTTAGGAGATATATCTCCCTGTGCTCCTGACTGCAACCAGAGGATTTAGTGATTGCATCTTAAAGAACTTAACCCTATTGACACACATCTCTAAGGCCTGTTTTATATCTCTGTTCCTCAGGCTGTAGATGAAGGGGTTCAGCATGGGGGTAACTACTGTATACATGACTGAAGCAATTATGTCTTTGGAATCCCATGATGAGGAGGAAAAGTAAACACCTGCCACTGTCCCGTAGTATAAAGACACCACAGAGAGATGGGAGCCACAGGTAGAAAAGGCTTTAAAGAGTCTCTTAGTGGAGGGCACCCTCAGGATGATGGTCCCTATATGGATATATGAGCCCACAATAATACCAAAAGGCAGAAAGAAAAGCATTCCACCCTCAGTGAATATGACCAGCTTATTCAGGGAGGTGTCTGGACAGCTCAGCTTCAGAAGTGCAGTGAGGTCACAGAAGAAGTGGGTGATGGTATGGTCTGCACAGAAGGACAGTTGGGCCAATAGGAAGGTGTGTAACAGGGAACTGCCACAGGAGAGAATCCAGGAGCCAGCCTCCAGCAGTACACACAGCCCCTCCCTCATGATGGTGGTGTAGCGCAGAGGGTGACAGATGGCCACGTACCTGTCATATGCCATCACAGCCAGAAGAAAATTGTGAATACCTGCAAAATGTATGAAAAAATACAACTGAGAAATGCATCCCACATAGGAGATGGATTGTTGCTGAGTCTGCATGTTCATGAGCATCTTAGGGACAGTGACAGAGGAGAGAGAAATGTCAGAGAAGGCCAAGTGGCTGAGGAAGAAGTACATGGGCGTGTGCAGGCGAGAGTCCAGCCTGATGAGCAGGATGATGAGCAGGTTGCCCAGCACCGTGGTCAGGTACATGCCCAGGAACAGGGTGAAGAACACGCCCTGCAGCCCTGGCGGGATGGGGAGCCCCAGGAGGAGGAACTGGGACACGCTGCTCTGGTTCTCAGGCCTCATGTTCCTCTTGGGTCTGCTGGGGATGAAAGGACAGTGTAAAAAGGTAAAATACTTCCAAAGTGTGATTATGGGCACCACTGTAGGGTCTTCTACTTTCTCCTGGAGAAAAATACTATCCTTGCATACACATAATCAGCTAGAGCTGCCATAGCAAGCAACATACCCTCAATGCCCAACATTGTTTTTTTTTCAATGAAACTAGAGCAAATTCATTCTTCTTAATTTTTTAATTAGACAGGTTCCTGGCACTGTGCTACTAAATGGAAATGCATGAATAAATGGGACACACAGGACCTCTTTCCTCAGCCCCCTGACCCACTGGGGACCCCTGACAGAGGACTGAGTAAACATGAAGCTCTGCAGCCAGATTCCTTGTGCTGCAAGTCTGGCCCCACCACTTTCTGGGTGGATGAGTTGAAGGGGTGATTGTCTTCGCCTCATGTTGTGCCACAGTAGGTGGTGATACCAATGTCACACATTCCTAGAGGATTCCAATTCGAGACACATTAATATCTAGGAACAGTGTCTTGTATAAAATAAACACAAAATTATACCCATTATTTTTATCTGAGCTCTCACCCTCTCGAGAGGCATTTCGGAGCGCATATCCTGTCATTGGGTAAATCTTCCGGTGAAACAAGTCTAAATGCACATCCATCTATTTGCCGAGAAATAAACTTACCTCAGTGCATCTATCTCCATCTATACCGGGTGCTTCATGCTGGCTCAGAAATGAGGATCCATAGGCAGGAAATACCTGAGACCTGAGATCTGGCAGGTGAGACTGGGGACCCTGAAGGATGGGAAGTGTCCATTAGGATTCAGTTACCTGACTAACCATCACTATTTCTAGTACCAATCTTCACATTTATAACAATTGACAGTTAGTGAACACTCTGTCAAACCAATACATTTCTGCATTATTGCCTCATTAAATTTTAAGTAGTCCCAGAAGATAGCTGTTATAAAACTTCATCATGTGAACTATCATGATCACACAGTTAGTAACTGCTGTAGTCTCAATTCTCTCATGTTTCTTAGGTTTATTGGAATCTCTGTTCCTATAACGCTCTGTTTATCCCTTTCTTTAATTAGACAAAAGAGCCAGGACCTTCAGCAATATGATCTCAGGATTTGAGGGAGTCCTTTTGCTCAGACAGCGGTCATATTCCTACAGCCCAGTAGTTTGCAAATGATTTTCATGTACTTCCGGTTTCATTCCATCCACCAATGTTTGTTCTGTGTCTGCGAAGTAGGGAAGACAGAGATTTTTGTTCTATTACTCACTACTAACAGGAGTAGTGAAATGGCTTACACAATTTCACATAGATACTGCCCAGCAGGACCTGGTCTCAAAGGTAGACTTTCTGATCATCTTTTCACTGAGAAGAGAATTCACCCATTTCTTCCTGTGGGAGGTAGAAAGGTTAAGCTAAAGTTGAATGTCAAAATACCCATACTTTTAGGAGAAGAACTTGGCATTAATATGGTTGTGTGTGTGCGTAACAAGGTTAAGTAATCCCAGTAAGTAACTAGGATCTCAAACATCTCCTAGAAGAGACCCATTTCAAGGAAAGGGAACAGTATAGAAACAGTACCTTGATTCTGTCAGCACCATGAGTGAAAGATGTGGCTGGGAGACACTTAGTAATAGAGAGGAGAAGCGGCTACCTGGAGGTCCAGGGGAGTCTTTGGATGGGCCAAATTTTCCTGTCAGTGTACCAGGTATTGTCTCCTAGCATTCAGGAAATGGAGAGTCAGGTGTCATGGCCTCTACAGGCTACAATTTACTAAGTGCTTACAATGTGCTAGAACTTAAGCACCTTACAGACCAAATTCCAGTGATTGTCATTATTCCCATTTGACAGTGGAGGCTGCTGAGCATCTATGACCACAGAGCTATTAAGTTGAGTGTAGACGTATGTGACCTCAGATATGAGCATTTAGTTTCTAAACTATGTAACAAAGTTGAAGAAGAAGTTCAAAAACATTGGGCTTCGGGGATGCTCCTATATTATTCAAATCACTAAAAAATGGCCCCCAACAGATCTTCAAAATGGGCTTCTTTTTAAGCTGCCTGTGTGGGTTCTAATCTGTAGCTATGGTGAGTCCAAATGTATGAAAGTAAGATGGGGTTTTTTTGTTTGTTTTTATTTGGCCTTTTTCAGTATCTTGGTTTTAAGTCTCCATCCTATGTATCTTCTGTGTGAAGGAAGTCAAGGTGTGGGTTTGTTACACACAAGAGCACTCACACACTGTCACAGCCACAGCCTTGCCAAAGGGAGACTTACAGACTTCCCTGGCTTACACTCAAGCTAAGTAAATACAGCCAGAGTGTGAGTCAGTGTCACACAAATCTATGCAAAACTCACACAAAACACACTCACACGTGTACAGCACAGTTGCACACACATAACTCTCAAGCATCCTCCACCACACACATTGCAGTCACAGGCAGTCACACATTCAAATCACAAGTGATGCACAAGGTCTTCCATGCAGCACACAGGCAACAAAACACAAGGAAAATAAGACACACATCGCTGAGGAAACTTTCCGCCTTCTCTGACTTATACATGTCCTCGGTGGAGGCATTCAGTGTGTGAGTAAGTGACACACATACACAAAGTCATACCACACACACACACACACACACACACACACACACACACACACACACACGACTATGGAGATTTCTGGTTCCCTTCTAATCTATACCAGGGCTGTGAGTTCTGATACCTTGTGCTTTGTCCTGTCTCCCGAATCCTCAGTTTCTGTGCAGGAGACCCAGGATGAAAGGAAAGGGGAATAAACCTTTATGGCCCTAGGACCTTTACAGACTCTCATGTTTGTTCACCAGCTTCAAAACAACAGGCAGAATATCCCCTGTTAGTAGCAGAAAGAGACCCCAGAGGGAGACAGCCCCAAGTCCCTGAGTAGAGCAGCAGTCAATTGAGATAACTGCCCAACTTCCTCCAGGCCCCTTGGGATGGAACATGTTTAGGGGCCAGAGGAGCTGAGCTGTACCTGGAGTCCCAGGAGAAAGGGTTCTTAATGTCAGTCATATCTCGGGCCTCTGGTCAAGTCTCTGGATGGGAAGCAGGAGGTTCCCAGTTGCCCGTGGACTCTGCATCACAATTTTAGCTCCTCTGCACAGAAGTGAATGGCCCAGGCAGTGTACGGGCTTCAGAAAGCTGGCAAAACACTACACAGACCTCTGTTCCAACACAAAGCCCCTTCAAATGTACTGGTCTCCCCATCCTCTGTGGGGTCCTATAGGGTAGGGTCTGTGCCTTGTTCAGGGGCAATGGGATTGAGTCTGTAGGCTCTGGGAAAAAGACTCTGGGCTCCGTCCCCTTACTAAGAGAGCATGTCTGAGAGATTGAGCAAAGATCTCTGAGACCTGGGTCCTTCAAAGTGGAAATAATAATAATAATAATACTCTTCAGGAGAGTTTGAGGGATGATTAAATGAGCACATAATGGAAGGTTAATAAATGTTTAGAATTATTGTCAATGTCTGTGTAACACTAAGTATCAGCTATGGCTGAAATAGGCACTGGGTAATGGTGAGAGAATTCATTTGTTCATTCATTGACACGTTCTCTTAAATAATTACTAAGGTTCTCACAAAAGTAAGATATATACTCTGGAGACACAGCAGTGAATAAAACAAACAGAAATTCCTCTTGGAGAGCACACATTCAAGCAGGGGGAGCAGAAAACAAATTTTAATTAAAAATATGGTCAGAAAATGGCAAAAGGTGCTGGGGTACAACAAAAATCAGGGTTGCAACTAGGAACAATCTCAAATGTCCATCAATAGATGAATGGGTGAAAAAGCTGTGGTACATCTAAACAATGAAATACTACTTGCCAATAAAAAGCATGATCTAATGAGCTCAAAGAATGTACCATGTATTGATACATATTAAACATAGATGAATCTCAAAATGCTTATGCTGGGTGAAAGAAGACAGCAATAAAAGAATATATTCTGTATGACCCATTTAGATAAGCTTCTAGAAGGTGCAAACTAGTTGATGTGACAGAAACAGATCAGTGGTTCCCCTGGGGGACAGAGGTGAGGAGCAAAGAGGCAGCAGGAGGTAGGCTTGGGGAAACTTCGTGGTCCTGACAGCTTGTAGTCATAGCTTAATGGGTGTATACATATGTCAAAACTATCCAAATTGTATACTTTCAATATATTAAACTTATTATATGTCACTTAAACCTCAAAAAATCTTGGTGTTTTTATTTTTTTCAATGTATCTATTAGTTGGAAGCATTACACATGTCTCCTTTGTATTTTTTCACATTGACCCCCTCCGTCCCACAACCCTCCTTCCATGCCTTCACCACACTATTGTCTGTGTCCATGGGCTATGCATATATGCATATAAGATCCCTGGTTAATCACTTCCCACCCCCGCTCCCCCGCCTTCCCTCTAAGATTTGTCAGTCTGTTCCATGCTTCTATGTCTCTGGATCTATTTTGTTCATCAGTTTTTCTTGTTCATTAGATTCAACATATGAATGAGATCATGTTATACTTACTTTCCTTTTTCTCATTTTTTAAATTTAAAAATTAAATTATAGTTTACGTACAATATTATTTTGTATTAGTTTCACATGTACGGCGTAGTGGTTAGACAATCATGTACTTTCCAAAGTGTTCATCCTGATATTTCCAGTACCTACTGGGCAACACACAGTTATTACAATATTATTGACTATGTTCCTTATGCTGTAATTTATATCTTCATGAGTATTTTATAACTTCTTTTTATTTTTTAAAATGTATCTTTATTGTTGAAAGTATTCCAGATGTCCCCTTTTTCCCCATTGACCCCCCTCCGCCCCGCTGCCACCCCCTCCCCATGCCTTCACTGCTCTATTGTCTGTGTCCATGGTTATGCATATATGCATATAAGTTCTTTGGTTAATCTCTCCCTGTCCCCCCCACCCCCTTTTCTCTGAAATACGTCAGTCCATTGCATGCTGG